CTCTCTCTCTAGATCTCATTCGAGCTTTATCTTCTTCTTGTTGCTCCACTGGTACAAGTTGAAGAAGGGTGTATTGAGTAATACAGTAGAAGATCTGTAGGTAAACCGAGACGAAATAGATTTTGACCTACAGAACTAACCGGAAGTCCGATTGAGACGTACAGTATACCCAGACGACTGTCTCGACGAGAGCTTTCCAGCGCCGCCGACGTCGCCGGAATCCGACGCTGCACGCGCCCTCACGCGCCGCCGGAAGGTGTCTGGCAGGAAAATTTCGTTTTGATCTGTTTGCATCCGTTTGATCCAGTTTTTGTAATATCCCATTCAGTAATTAATAAAAGTAATTATTTTAGTTCTAAGTTTGAACTAATTACTTTTATTAATAATGCTCGTTCCTAGTTCCGAGCCAGTTAATAAGTTAATAAATTTTAAGTTCGACTTTAAGTTAAAAGTATTCTCGGTTAAATTTTATTCAGTAATCGAGTCAGTTCATTAATAAATTCCGGTCCATTTATTTTAGAAATGGATTCTATTAGTAAGGATTAATTAATTTGAGATGTTCGACAAGATTTCTGATTAATTAGACATGAGTGTCTAATTTAATCAATTGAGATAATAAATTTATTTAGAAAAATTTTCTATTTAAATTTATTTTAGAGTTTAACCGAGATATTAGAATATATTTTTTTAAGTATAGCGAGAGTTGTTAATTTTTAGCCATTTTGAGTACCATCGATATTTTATCAACTTATAAAAATTTTTCCGAGACCAATTTGGAGTCGTAAATTCTTCAGCCATTAAAGTTATTTTTCAGTTCGATTACTATAGAAATCTTGGCTCAAAATTTTAACAAATAGCAGGTTTAGTGAATTAAGCAGATATTAAATAAAGGTCTTGGTACAAGTTAAAGATATATAAATTTTCTTTTCGATTCAATTATTTTCAAATAGAGGGCCACTATCAGTAAACTAAAGAAGTTGGCGTGATTTTAATTATTTAGACAAGTGGAACATGATTTGATTAGCTTTTCTTATACTAATCACACTTAGTCTTTCTCTATTTCACGCCATTAGCAAGATCATGTTTATTAAATTATATTTATTTCCTTATCCAATAATGTGGCTTTGTCTTTCTTCTTCCACACTCTCACGACATATGCATAAAAAAAAAAAAATAAATAAAAAATACTATATCTATGCATTTCTCTCTTCAAAGATCACACGCTATCATTTTTATATAAGTCTTTAGTAATTTTGTTGAGACATCCGTTCCACGCCATTATCTTAATATTTTTTTTTTCTCTAAGTCAAAAATTTTTTTTAGTTAGATCGATTTATTTAAATTGAATTAAGAATTTATTAAGTTCAGGTTAAGCAATAGAAATCAGGTGGGTTCATTTCTTCAAATGACACGTCCAAATTGTTATTGCTAAATCTATCATGCCAAGTTTAGTACTATAGCTTAAGTCTAAGTGTTTTATTATTCATTTATTTAATCCACCTCTTGGTATGTTAGATAAACATCAACTTGTCACCTAAGAAATGATAAAGCTCCATTAATTTCACGTAAGGACATAGGTGGCGTGAGGAGAGTATAATATATATATTATATTACTTCTTAATTTAAGTCAAAGTCATGATGTATAGATTAAGAGATGATCATGTCACCTTAGGCCATGACTAAGCATCTTAAAAAGGACATTAATATTTTTATTAAGACAAGTTTCTTTCTATTAATTAGTACCTCTTCATTTCGTATTTATATAAAGAGGTATTAGAGGTGGATTAGTTTTCATATTATTTTCCTAAAAAGTAGCTTTATAAGTTTTTCAATGCATAGATTATCAAGAGAGCCGAGAGTGTTTTTGTGTGCGGGTTTGGTGTCAAGAAAAATTATTCCGAGATTCACTTTGTTTATCCGAGTGGACTTATAACAACCTGACTTCAAGGAGTTCTTTGAAGGTTAGAATAAGTTTATTAAGTTTTCTTTTCAGTAATCATATGATATAATAAGAATTATTATATGGTTAAATCAATCCAAGGTTATGTCTAAGGAGTAGTTCGAATTTGTAATCATTTAAGCTTTAAATTCGAAAATTTAGTTATGAGCATGATATGCATAACCTGGCATGTTAAGCTTATTATGGATATTTCTTGTGTAAGTGCTGATTATATAGGTGAAAGAATTATGTCATTTGGCATAGTATAGCTTGAGTTATAAATTTTTGAAGTTAAGCATGCAAGTTGAATTTTATGTTCTTTATTTCAGCTGTGACTTTAAAATTTTAATAACTCCATATATACGCATGATAAAATTATGGAATTTTTACGACATGCTTATATATGGGTTAAGAATATGACTGCCAAATTTCATGATTTTATGTTGAGAAATGAACGAGTTAAAATATTTATATGGCATACATGTCAAGATGATTTTATATGCAAGAGTATTCAGTACATGGTTGAGTTTTTAAAATGAAATTTTTAGGAAAAATTCTTATATGAGTGATGAGCAATTTGACCAAGTTTCAGCTCAATATGTTGAGTATGTGATTTTATAAAAATTGTTTCAAGTCTAGTATATTAAGATCATAATTTAATGTTATGATTAAAAGTTGAATTGTTGAGTATTAAGTTGAGATTTTAGTATCAAGTAAGTTTAAGATAAGTTTAATAGTTTATAAAGTTTTATAAATCATGAATATGATGTTGATAAAAGTAAGCATATTTTAAGTTTAAATCAAGTATAATGTGAAATATAGTTATTTTCACATTTGAGTTATGATATACTAAGTATAATACCATATTAATGTTTATAAAGACATGATTTATACAAGGTTAAGTAATTGACCTTAAGTATAAGTAAAAAGAGAAGTTAAGTATAAACTTGAGAAAAAGCAAGTTTAATGAATTTCTATAAGATTTGGATAAGTTAAAAATCCTAAAAATCTTATTGAGTATATGAGCATAGTACTTAGTATATTTGTTTATATTTGATGTAACTTGCAGATACGGTACCAGTACAGCACTTATCATTTTTCAAATGCTTTCAAAGACAAAAGGTGGGGACCCTGAACGGGTATCACATTGAGTACGATATGTGATTGGGATGAGGAGACCATCAGTTGTCTCAAAAGTTATATCCCGAAGTTAAGGTTTATTACGCTTGGGATGAGGAGGCATTAATTTGTCTCATAAGATTATATCCTAAGTTCTGGTGGAGGCGAAACGGGCCTTAGAAATATCCATCAGAGTGTGCACACGTACCCGATTAACCATCGGCCAGAGAAATGAAAGTTTAAGTTTAAGTTACCGATCAGATATCGGTTTATGATTATCCATATTCGTTACTCACCCCCATGAGTTTTAATTTCAGGTAACAGGTTGAAGAGGAGGTGTGAGTGGAGCAGTGTTGGTGTGGATCGTGGATTCAGATGAAGACAAGCTTTGATACGGACATTTAAAACAGTCTGTATAATTAACCACGTTTTTAAGTATTTCCGCTATGCACATTGAGTATTGAATTTGCATTTTAATGAATTTTAGATACAAGTTTTTACCATTATGAGAAATATGATTATGGTATTTTAAAATGCAAGTTTAAAGGAAATCTGTTTTAATTATGTCTAAAGAAGTATTAGACAAAAGTTTAAAGATAAATGGATTTTCAAGATGATGAGTTTGAGTAGCATTCCGAGTTAGTCGCAAAAGATTTCGAAAGAATTAAGTATATTCGAAGTAAAAGTTGCGAAAAATTTACTCTGATAAGCGGGGTGTTACAGTTTTGATCTGATCTTGTTCGTGCAACCCAAGACGCGTGTTGCGGTCAATCAATTGCGGTCAACTGTTCGTGGTCAACCAGATCTACATAAATTTTAAGCCGTAAGTTCTCTACGTCAAACCTTTAGATCCGCTGCGCATAGGTTTACGTTTGCTATTGAATTCGTGATTTGTACATAACGAGATCCTCACAGATCCCAACATTGTGTGCATGCATCCCGTTCCACTCGACACTTTCATGTTGGGCACATTTATTGATATATATATATATGGGCCAGAATATCACTATACAAAAATATTTGAAGTCATACAATGGCAAGCAACTACTGAAGTAAGTAACTATCAAATAACCAAAGTTCATTATGTACACATATGCATTAACATAACAAATAAACAAAAGTTCTTATGCATAACAAATAGGCACCAGACAAAGATAGTAGTGTTATTGACAATGGACAAAATTTGACTGAATTTAGTATAAGAAAATACCAATATTTTTCCATGACATTGTTCATGTGTGATTTTACACCATATTTATATAGTATCTAGAGCTTATTCATTGCATTATTGGTGTATATATTGCATTATTGTTCTTTAATTCTATATTTGTTGGAAATGTATTACACGCGCTTGTTTTGTAGATATTTCCACATATTTGTAGAGACTTTGGCTATTGGAGGCGCACGATGAGTACCTAGGACCCCCGGGATGATGAAAGATTGATGCACGGATGAGAAAAATGGAAGAAACGAGTGAAACCAGCAAAAACGAGCAAGCATGTTTGTGACAGGGGCATCATGACCATGTCAGAGGCCGTGTCACCTCAACAAAGCAATTTTGAGGATTTATACATGACACGGGCTGCGATACGGCCAGTGACATGGGCAGAATGGCCGTGTCGCGTGCGTAAACTGTTTTTTAATTCTTGCTTATTTTGATGAGGAGAAGGCTTTTGGACACAAAAAAAAGGCATATTTAACCTATTCTCTAAGGGAAAAAGGGGATTACACAGGAGAGGAGCCCTAGAACACACAAGAGAAGCAATTGAGAAGCAAAAAGAAGATCAACTACGAATGGATCAAGTAGATTGAAAGATCGACAAGATTCCTAGTTTTTCTTCCTTCTTTCTTTTGAACTTTTATTTATCATGTTGATTTCTAATATGTCTAAGTTTCAAACATGAGTGGCTAGTTTATTTGATTCTAAGACTTGGTAGTAGATTAATATCTTGGGATTTTGGATGATTTATTATAATTGATTGTTTTCTTTTGAACCCTATTCAAATATTTTGTTCTTATTTCATGTTTAGCACTTGGCCAATGTTTTTACATGTTTGACAATATTGTTCATAATTCGAGAGATGAGTTCAATGTTAGGTCATTAATATTTGACACAATTTACTTGCTCGAATCGAGAGATTAGTAGGTTGTTGTGAGGATATTAGATCTTTTAATCTATTTGGAGTTGAATTGCATGTGTTGAGTGGAGACGCTAATATATGTTTAATCTACGGTTTTATCGATCTTGAGAGGGACGATAAGCTAAATTTGTGATCATCTTATAGTGGAGATAAAGAAAACATTGGTTGTGATATTTTTGAAGGAACCCAACTGTTAATTGAAACCATAGTCTTAGAAGCTATCATTCTCGTATATTTTCTTACGTATTTTTCTAGCTAGTTCTTTATTGTTGCTTTATTTTTCTTTGATTATATTTTCTTAGTTTAGTTAATCCATCTCATATTCGATTGTCTAAATAAAGTTGACACTACCATAATCTCTTGGGATACGACCTTGCTTGCCACATATTACGAGTGAAGCCATACACTTGCGGTCGAGCTTTAAAAATATAGGCGAACAAACATCCATATATATGTTACAGAATAAAAAAAACAACCAAGTTAGTATTATGTTTGTAGATATTCTCTCGTGGAGAGCGATGAAATTCTCTCGTGGAGAGCGATCTCATTGGCCGAAATTCTGAACTATTCTGAACTATTCTCGCCGGATTTATTCAGGGTTAGCCGTCTTTTTCGACACTACTATCCTTTGTCTTCGTAGCGTGCAGCAAATTTGGGCGTTTTCTTCATTCTAGGGTTCTCCAGTCATGGGAACTGATCGATGCGTGGGGCAGGATGAAGACCTTGCTATTCGATTACAGGGCTTCTCATTATCTGATAGAGAGCACAAGTTCATCGACATCGCTAAAGCAGACATAAAAATTAGTGACGAAGAATGTAGACGAAGTTTATTCGGGAAAATCATAGGGGATCGAAGGGCCAGCTGGATAGGAATAAAACGCTCCATGTCAAACATCTGGCGACTGCAACAATCCATGGAGGTCAAGGAACTCGGACCAAACTACTTCCAATTCATTTTTCAAAACCGGGACGATCTCCTCAAGGTCTCCCAAGGAACCAATTGGATTTTTGATAACCAATATCTCATTTTGGCGGAATGGCAGGAGGGACTATCTTTGAACCACCACACATTCTCAGAACTAGACTTCTGGGTACAGGTCTTCAACATTCCTCTAAATTGGCTCAGCACGGAGGTGGGGTTAAAAATCGGAAGTGTTTTCAAAAGGGTTAATAACGTTGTTGTAGTTGGTGCTGGCAGCCATGGGGGCCGTATTATGCGTTTAATGGTCACTGTGGACCTAAAAGAAGCTTTACCTCGCTGCGCTCACATTAGACTGGATAATCGAGAGGCGACTGCAGGGTTCAAATACAAAAGGCTGGTTAATCATTGTCACTACTGCGGTCATATTGGTCACCTGGAAAGAGACTGTGCTGTTCGAATCCAAGATATCAAATCCAACACCGTGAAGGAAGGCCAGTTTGGCAATTGGATGTGTGCTTCTGACTTCCAAAACTGGTCGGGCTTAGGAAATTCTAATTCTCGGAGCCATCATCAATCTGATACCACTCCATCCATGTCGCAACCTAACCCTCCCAATACTTCCAATAGCCAAGCAGAGGATAGCAACCAAATCATCCCAGCCCGAGAGGAATCTTCTCACTTCCCATCTCAAACAGAGGAAACTCCATCCCCTACCCAACCACAGCCAAATTTGAATCCCACACCCAACTCTATCATGATGATTGAAAATGCCTCTTATTCTTCTCAGGGTCACATGGACATTGAGCATAACAACCTCCAA